GAGTTGATACGCTTCCATTATTTTGAACGGATTCTGTTGCCTTTGTATAAAAATCCTTTAATATTTTAGTTAATTTATACCCCAATCCTAATTTATACAATTTGCTCCAAAGTAAATTATGTGACACTGACGGAAAGGCGTTGCTAAAATCGACAAATAAGGCGTATACTTTTCCTCCCCTTAAGCTTAACCGATTTTGAACTAGGGCATTTAAAACAAATATATTATTAACGCAACTTCTTTGTTTTCTAAAACCAGATTGAAATTCTGGAAGTAAGTTTTCTTGTTCAACCCAATGCGCGATTCTATTTGTCAATACATTTGTGAAAACTTTTGTTATACAGTTAACTAAAGCTATAGGGCGGAAATTTCCTGGGTCGTTTATATCACCTTTCTTATGTAACATTCTTAAATTTATATTTGACCAGTTTTTTGGTACTTTTTCTTCAGTTAAAATTTTATTAAAAAGAAGATTTACATAATCGATCCATTTCTCGGGTAGGTTTTTTAAAAATTCAAAAGTAATTTGGTCCGCCCCTGATGATTTGTTTTTTTACATTTATTTAGAGCAGAAATTACTTCATATTTAGTAATAGGGAGTTCCAATTCAGTGTTACTATTTTTGTCCATTAATTCAACTAATAATATTTGTTCTGGAAATGTCTCTTTAATCTTAAAAAAATCTGAAAAAAATTTATGCTATGTGTCAAAGTCAATATTATTTTTATTATTACTTCTACTTCGGAAACCATTTATTATACTCCAAAAACTTTTTGATTCTTTACAATGTGATAATTTATCGAGAGTTGAATCTTTGTAAATCTTCTTTTTTAACTTTTGTACATTAAGATACAATTTTTTATTATTATTATATTGTTCAACAGATTTTTGATTCTCAAAGTTTTCAGTTTTACATTTTTTCAAAGATTTCTTTACAAATTTTTTCAATAAAAAACATTCGGAGTCGTACCATGGTTTGGATTCTCCACTTTTATTTTTTGTTTTAGAAACCATTCCAACTAACTTCGCTTTAGATTTTATGGCATCTGTCAGATGTTCGGCCATCGAGTTAACGCTGTGGAGATCAGTCGGAGCGCTGCATGGAAGATCACTCATTGCTTCAAAAAAATTTTCAAATAACTCATTCCTCCATTTTAAATTGCTTATTGGATTTATTATTTTTTCTTTTTTTTCTAAGGTAATGGAGATAGGAAAATGATCCGAACCTGTTATCATTTGCATAACTTCAAAATTTTTTATTTCTGAGATAGCTGTCAAATTCACCCATGCTGAGTCATTTGTAGATTTTCTATTTTTTAATACGTAAGTTAATTGACCCGAACAGTCTCCCAGTGATCTACCGTTTAGTACAATGCACCCACTATCCTCCATACAGCGCACTAACTGCCTCCCTCTTTTATTTATTGTCTTATCTGTGTTAGATCTTACGAAGTAAATATTAGAGTTCTCTGACAATATATTTTCATTTAATTGATTTAATTCCCCTATTCTGGCGTTGAAGTCCCCACCCACGATCAATGGAAAATCAGAATATTTATTATTAATTAATGTAATTATTTCGTTAAATTCTAAGCAAAAATGATCAAAATTAAAATCTGGTTTTACATATACTACACCTAGGATAAACTTTGTCTTACTAGATACGATTTTTACAAATATACATTGCTCTGTAATTTTTATAATATTATGTTTATAAATACTTGACTTTAGAGCAATAAGTAGACCACCGCTTGCTCTTACTCTCTTTGCTGATCTTACTGCCGGGCTGCTTATCAAGTCGAAATTGTGGGGAGAACAGGAGTGCGGCGGTTGACATCATCCAAGTTTCAGAGATACAAACAATGTCGATATCATTGAGAAGAGGAGACAAATCCTTCCAGTTGGACCATCCATTAATATTCCAGAAGATTATTCTAGGGTTTTTTTCCTTCGTATATAGCTATGATTTATTGACAGGGAATTTCTTCGCTTCTTCGTTGGCTGCTGCATTTCGATTTTGTGGAATTAAGAATGCTTTAAGAGGGTTAGCAGTCATTTTATCTGACGATGTTTTTATCTTTTTCTTGCTTTTATTCTTGGATCCATGCGATCTTCCTCTCTTGGTTCCGCTCGCTGTAGAAGCCATAGATATAGTCGATTCCTCACTTTCAGAGTAATACTCGGATTCTCTTTCCACTTCTGAGAGTTCCATTTTTTTCAATTGTTTTTCGACATCTTCAACATTTAACATTTCTTCGTCTACAATAATTTTCGGGCCTTTAATTATTGCAGTTTTTCCTTTTTGTTGTAATATCTCTTTATATTTGAGTAGAATTAGGTAATTATTTTTTCTTTTTTCTCTTTCCTCTTTTGAAAGGTCATTGGCTATAGCAATATTCATATTTGAAAGAGCCTTTCTGTTTTGGAATAAAAATGATTTGCAATTCGAATTATTGAAGGAAATCAAAATTGGCCGTGACCCTTCTTGTTTACCCAGTCGTTTCACATCGGTTATAGTATCGGTTGGTAGGTTTGTGTTTACTCTATGAATTATCTCTTTGACTGTGTTGAGCAGATTTTTGTTTTCATTCTCTGTGTCCGGGACTTTATACAATATCACGTTCTTACTTCTCTCTTTATACGAAATAAAATCCACTTTCCTTTCGCATTCCTTTACTCTTTCAGTTAAAAATTTATTTTCTTCCAATAAACTGTTACACTTCCTTTTACAGGTACTTAGTTCTGCTTTTAAAGTATTGTTGTCTCGTTTAATGTCTTGCAAGCTTGAATCCATTAAATCCAGTTTATTGTTGGTCTGTTTCACCTGTTCTTGTATGGAGAGTAGTAGTTTTGTGAGATCTTGTGAGTCCGAGTTATTAGTTGTTGTTTCTTGACTCATTTTTGTACGGTTTTTGAAAGCTTTTTTAAGTGGCCGATCACTGTCAGATTCTTACTTGTTTATTTACTAATTTTGTTAACGAATAAAAATTTATTTTTTATAAACATGATTGTTTTAATAGTTTTGTGTGATCGTAAGGAACAACATTACATAAAAGAATTCGAAAAAAATATGAAAAGGCACTTTTAAAACATTGTTAATTAAAAAGATTGCCTTAAGTGGCCGACTACTGTCGGATTCTTACTTTTTTTGTAAATTTTTTTAACGAATTAGAAATTTATTTTTGTAAATATCAACTGTTTATCGATAAAATCGAATAACTCGAGTAAATCTTCACTGATTTTGCTCAATTTATTTGTTGGATAAAGAATGATAAAAGAAAGAATTATGATAAGGTTATTCAATATTTTGGATACTTTTATAGAACTGAAGCAAAGAAAACTAAACTTCTAAACGGATTTGTAAATATTTTGGAATATTAGTAATTGGTATAAAATCTCGATATATATTTCAGGCAATTTTAAAACATTTCGTATTTTTTGAAATATTTAGATTTTTCCGAAAACAATTCGATTTTTTTAAAATTTTGACAAATGTAGAGCCTACACTGAAAAAAATATTTCTGTCTTAAGAAGATTTCTCTTATTTCAATCGATAATTCAATCGATAAATATTGAATTTTCGGAAATCTTATTTTCTCTCCATTTTCTATTTCATTCAATAATTCTGAAACTTTTCGCTGATTTCCAGATAACATTCTGATTTTTTCATTGACTGTAAAGAATATTTTGATTCACGTCAAGAAAATGTACTATTACATACTTGTATTTACGAATTTTTTTAATTACAAAATTATTCAAAAACATAACTCCTTTTTAAATTATTTCTTCTTCTATTATTTTTCAAAAAGAATTAACATTTTCAAAAAAAGTTTTAATTCAAAGCTTTTTCAAATTAACTTATAAAAATTTATTATAAAACATAAAGGAATCAATTACTCAAAGTCTTTGATTCGGAGTGATATATTTCTTTGTTTTATTATAATTAATAAAATTTCTATAAAATTATAAATTTTTTAAATAAAATAAAATTATATTTTATTAATATTAATATTGTATTAATTCAATCATTTTTACTAATAACAAAATTATTCACAGGATTGCAATTATTATTAATAAAAGTTTTGCATTAGAATTCGTTGTATTTTTATAGTTTATGAGTCAAATAAAAAATACAAAATTTCAGAGTTTTCTTATGAATTCTAAAAATTTAATTTTTTCCAGTACTTTTAATAAAAATCCTTGATTCTTATGTTATCTTCCTGAAATGCTCCAACCCTGCAAAATTTTCAAATTGAACATATACTAAATGTTTTAAACAGTTATTTTAATTTTCTGTATGAATAATTTAAAATTGTTATAAGGAATTTTATTAAAATTTCTTAGAATAAATTAATTTTTAAATATAATTTTTAGTAAAAAATTTTAAAATAAATATTTTTTTTCATAAATTTTATTAATTTTTTTAAAATTGAATTCTTTTAATGAATTTTATTGAAAATGGTAGATATTTAAAATAAATTAATTTCTGTAATAAGGATTTCATTTTTTATATCTATAGTAGGTTTTAATAAATAAGTGCAAAGATTTATAAAGACGAAAGTTTATTTTATAAACATTTTACAACATAGCGATTTTTAGGTTCAATGTTTAAATAAATTAAATTTACATATTTTGTAAATTTAAATTTTGTAATAAAAGTAAATAAAAAAAAGTAATAAAAGTATTGTCTAGAAAAAAAAATCTGCCTGGATATTCTGCGCATTTTTATCTCATTTTATTACTTTTTAAAGTAGTAATTAAAGTGTAATATATATTTATATGTAATATATATATATTTTTTGAAACTAATTTAACTTATTTACTTTCAATTCAGGAACATATAAAAAATACAAAAATGGATTCGAACAAAAAAACTTAACAGCATGTGACTGTTAGAAATTTAGTGGCAACGTTCTCGATAACTTTTCTCTTTAATTATTTAATAAATTGAGCTGAAATTTTGTTCTAAAGTCTAAAATACAATCAAGAAGGGCAGGTAATGTGCTAAAGTTTTGATATTTATATAATTAATTATTACAAATTACTTTAAAATTATCAATTATAATGCACGGAAAAAATGGACTCAATTTACTGAATATTTAAAAAGAAAAGGGTAAATTAAAATTAGTAAATTTGCATCTCTGACAACTTAAAAAAATAGTTTTCGATATAGAGCTAACACAAAAAATTAAAAGCGCTGCCATTTTCGCCTGCCATCTCTATCTCCATCCTTTCGGGATCGCCATTCTTTTTCCTTCTTCTGTCTCATCCACTCCTCTCTCTCAATTTCCCATTCCTTCTCCATTCTTTCCTTCTCTCTATCTCTTTCATCAAGCCTCATTTTTTTAATAGTATTTTCTAAAGCAGTAACTCGGGTCTCCAGCTTCCATCTCTCTTTGTCCGTGAAATCCTTCAATTTTTTTATCTCTTCTTTCCAATCCTAAAATAATTTAATAAAATTAGTTTTTAAAACATTTTAAAAATTTAGTTAGTAATTTTTAAAAATTAATTTTTAGAAATTATTTTTTATAATGAAATTTTTTTTGATAAAAAAAATAAATAATTTGATTTTATTTCTCTTAATAATAATTGAGTTCTCGTTATGAATATTGTTATTTCTAAAAATAATTAACCTCCTCTGAATGATATTATAATTTATAAAAATATTAATTTTAAATTTTATGAAAAGAATTGAATTACTGCGAAGAATTTAATGCCAAATTTTAAAAAGTTTGATTTCTTTGAAAAAATGTATGTGAAATTTTCATTTTTTTGAAAAATAATTGAATGTTTGTATAGGATATTATTAAAATTTTTGTTTAATAATTGGATTCTGTTGTGATATTTTATTAAAAAAGTAAAATATTGAAAATTATTTTATTTAGAAAAATTGTTTAAAGTAATTAAAAGTTTGACATGAATTTTAATAAAATTTTGAAAATAGTTTAATTTTATCACATTATAAAATCATTGATGATCAGGCAGGGTTGCCACAAATATTTAATTTTATTTTTCCCTGACTTTTCCCTGATTTCCAGACAGAATTTTCACTTTTTTCCTGACCATAAAGAATATTCTGATTCACTCTAAAAATTATTAGATACTCAAAAAAACATTTTATTACATTTACTTACGAATTTCTTAGATTGTAAAATTATTCGTAAACATCAATAACTAAATTTTTAAATAAGTATTTCATTATTATTTTTCCATAGGAATTAAAATTCTTCAAAACATTCAAATTCAAACATTTTTAAAATTCAACAACTTATAAGAATATTATTATAAAACATGAAGATATAACTTACTCCGAGGCGATGACTCGGCGTGATTGACATCTTCATGTTTTATAAAAATTTTAATTTCCATAAAATTTTTCAAAAAAAAATTAAATTATTTACAAAAATTATAATAAAATTATAAGCAAGAATTCAATTATTTTCATAATAAAATTCTTCACATGGTTACAATTATTTTTAATACAATTTTAAATAAATTTCTCGAAAAATAAAATTATCATTAAAAATCTTTTGCAAGAATTAAATTAGGTACATTTTATAAATAATGAAATTTTTCGCTGAAATTCAAAAATTTTCAAAATTTACATTTTTAATACAAGTTTTCAAAAGAATATAATTATTTAAATAAAATGTAATAAAATTCGTTGTATAAATTCAATTATTTTTACAAGTAATAAAATTTTCCACATGAATTCAATTATTTAAAAAAAATTAAAATTCGTAGTAAGAATTCATAATTATTTTCATAAATTATAAAATTTTATTGAGGATTTCAATTATTTATAATACAATTTAAAGTAAATTCCTAGAAAAAAGGAATTATTCTCTTAATTTTTTTGTAAGAATTTAATTACATTTCACGAATATAATGAAATTCTTCGTTGAAATTCAAATATTTTCCCAATCTACTTTTTTAATAAAAGTTCTCAAAAGAATTTAATTATTTAAAAAAATGTAATAAAATTCGATGCAGGAATTCAATTATTTTTATAAATAATAAGATTTTACATTATTTCAATTATTTAAAAAAAAATTTGAAAAAATTCATTGCAAGAATTCAATTACTTTTATAAATTAATAAAATTCTTCACAGGATTTCAATTATTTTTAATACAGTTTTAAGTAAATTCTTCGAAAAATGTCACTATTTTCAAAAATTTTGTTAAAATTCTTGGAAAGAATTCAATTATGTATTTTTAAAAATTCATGCTATAAATGCTTTTAATATTCAATTATTATCTAAACTTTTAACTAATATTTATTTTTAAATCAATTTTTATTGGAAAATTCTACAAGAATTCAATTATTTAAATACAAAAATAAATAATTTATTGAATAAATGAATGTTTTTCGAAACTAAATTATCATAAAGAATTTTATCAACAAATTTGAATTTTTTCTAGAAATTTTAATAAAATTTTCAAGAATAATTAAATTTTTCGAGGAATTTAATTAAAATTGTATTAAAAATAATTGAAATTCTACGATGAATTTTATTATTCATGAAAATAATTGAATTTTTGTAAAAAATGTTATTATTTATGAAAATAATTGAATTATTGCGATGTTTGCTTAGAATTTTATCAAAATACTTTTTTTAAATTATTGAATTCTTTTAAAAAATTTTATTATACCTGTAGATATTGGAAATCATTTAATTGAGAAAAATTTTTTGAAAATAATTGAAATTTTGCAAAGAATTTTATTAAAATTTTTGAAAATAATTGAAATTTGGAGAAGAACTTTATTATTTTTAAAGATAATTGAATTTTTATGAGAATTTTTTAAAATTTTTGAACATAATTGAATTTCTGTGATGAATTTTATTACTTTTGAAAATAATTGAATTTCTGCAATCATTTTTAACTTCTCCAAAATTCAATTTTTTCCAGTTGCTTAAATAAAAATCCCTGACTTTTCCCTGACTTCTCTGACCAATTTTACTTTTCCTGACTTTTCCCTGAATTCCCTGATTTCCCTGACCTGTGGCAACCCTGATGATGAATACTATTATTTATAAAAATAATTGAATTTTGTCGAAGAGTGTTGTTATTCATTTATAAAGATTATTTAAATGTTGACGACAATTTGTTTTAGATTTTTGAAAATAATGAAATTTTTAGAAAGAATTTAGTTATTTACTGTCAAAAATAAAAAAATTACGTTTTGTATTAGATTTTGTAGTGATTTCATAGTTTATGAGACAAACGAAAAAGAAACAATAATCCCTTATTTTTCCCTCAATTCCATGGCCATAAAAATTTAAAGTAAGTAAACAATTGATTACCTCATTCTTATATCCTGAGGTCTTATTTGCTGTGAAAGACTTTTGCTTTGGAGTAACAGTTTGCTGCAAATAAGGCCTATGCTGCACATACTGCTGCTGCTGCTGCTCTGAGTATTGCGGACTTATGAACTGTTGTGGGTACGCGGCTTGCTGTTCAACATATTGTGGCACTTCTTGCTGCATTTGCTGCCTATATTGAACCAGCTGTTGGTTCGGCATATTTTGCTCAGTCGATTGGAAAAATTGTTGCGGTGACTGTTGTACTGGAATTTCCTGTATCGCAAATTGTTGGTGTACTTGTTGTTGCGAAAGGTGTGCTGTATTTAAATGATTTGCCTGAAGTTTCTGCAGCGGCAGTCTTTGTTGCAGCTGTTGTGGTTGCGCAACTTGAATCGTCGGCGGTTGTTGCTGGTGTTGTTGCACTTGCGTCAACTGCTGATGCCTCTGTTGCGCATTTTGCAGCTGGAACGGACCAGTCGGAAGTTGAGATTGCTGTTGAGACGAGCCCGGGTTTGGAAATACAAGAGGTTGTGTCGGAGGCGGTGGCTGTCTCTGTATATTTTGCCGCTGTAACAATTGCTGTTGCGACGGACCAGCCAAAAGTTCAGATTGCTGTTGTGACGAGCCTGGGTCGAGAAATACAAGAGGTTGTGTCGGAGGCGGTGGCTGTCTCTGTATATTTTGCCGCTGTAACAATTGCTGTTGCGACGGACCAGCCGAAAGTTCAGATTGCTGTTGTGACGAGCCTGGGTCGAGAAATACAAGAGGTTGTGTCGGAGGCGGTGGCTGTCTCTGTATATTTTGCCGCTGTAACAATTGCTGTTGCGACGAACCAGCCGGAAGTTCAGATTGCTGTTGTGACGAACCTGGCTCAGTTACAAACGCTAGCGGCTGCTGCTGAGTTGCATTTCCTTGAGATTGTGACTGATCCTGGTTTCCGCCATTTTTTACTACAGCGCTATACATCTGAAATATAGTTTTAATGTTGATAATTATTTTTTAAACAAATTTTTTTAGTTAGTAATTTTATTTTAATATTATAATTTCTATTATTTTTTATTAAAGATATCAATGATTTGAATTTTATAAAAGTAATTAAAATATTTTTGCTAGTTCTAAGTGTAATTTAAATATGAGGAAAAAGGAAATGAAATAAACAGCGATCAAGAATTGTTAGAAGAAAACGAAATATTAGAGGAAAAAGTAAGAGAAGAATTTGCAGTTGAAGTAAGAGAAAAATACGAAGATGGTAAGGAAAAAGAGAGAGAAAATTATGAATTTGTAGAGCCTGTACAGGAACAAACACAGTCAATATTGGAGGAATTTGAAGAAATAGAAGAAATTAATGAAGAAATAGTAGCAGATGAAGAAGCAGACATTGAAAAAGAAAAAGGTACCGCGAAAGATTTGATTACGAATAAGGAAAGTGATCAGAAATCTACAGAAAATGGTAATAAAATTAAGAAGTTCAAAAATGTGAAAATCTTTGACGAATTCAACACCGAAGAAAGGGAAATTTCAAAGATGAGCTACGTTATAAACGAGACTCTTAAGAAAGTTGTAGAGGAAAACAACCATAAAAAAGGTTGTCAAAACAAAGTGTGGAAAATCGTATCTCGTTATAGAAAAGGATTAAAAACTAAGTACAATCTACAGTGTAATGAGTGTGGAGCACTTGTGCCAATTTGGTCAGAACCTAAAAGTGACGATTATTTAGATATTAATTTGGGTTCTGCTCTTGGCACTATTTCAGCAGGAATTGGTTATTCCACAATAGAAGAAGCACTCGCAGCTATAAATGTGCATTACATGAGTCCTGCAATGTATATAAAAAATCGATTTGAAATAGGAATGCATTTGATAGATATTAATAAGAATGTAATGAAAGCTGCAGCTCAGAAAGAAGCAGAAATGGCAATTGCAAAAGGACATGTAATTAATGGAGTACCATACATAACGGTTGTGGTCGATTGTGCATGGTGCAAAAGAAGTTACCGCACATCGGCATATGATGCCTTAGGAGGATGTGTTTTGATAATTGGTTATGAAACAAACAAAATAATAGATTGCATTATAAGGAATGTCCCTTGTGCAACGTGTCAACGAGCAATGAAGGATGAACGAGAACCCAAAGAACATAAATGCTTTTCTAACTACGATGAAAGTAAAAGTTCTTCAAGTATGGAAGCTGAAATGGTTGTCGAAGGTTTCACAACAAGTGAAGACAAATATGGATTAATTTATAAATATAGAATTGGTGATGGAGACAGTAGTACAGATGTATTACTTGCAAATCATGATCCTTACGAAAAACATAATGTTGTGGTAAAAAAATTAGAGTGCACCAATCATAAATTTAGAAATTTTTGTAACCTTATCGAACATGTTACATCAGTAAAAGCTCAAGATGAAGATAAAAATCCCGGCAATTCAGTGGCCCGAAGACTCTTAGGAAGCAAGAAATTAAAGTTACGAATTGAAATCATTTCAGCAATTGATAGACGCAGAGAGGATGAAACTTTAACATTTAATCAAAAAATTGACTTGTTATATAAGGATATACAGAATGTAGTAAGCCATTGCTTTGGTCAACATGCAAACTGTGCAAAACTGGATTGGCCTTGTAAGGGTAGAAATTTACTAGGAGAGGAGAATTTGATTCCTGTATTAAGTAAAAGTCATGCTTATGCAGAAATTGTATCAGGATTACGCTTGTTAGGACGTCACACAGAAAGTTTGTTGTACAAAGTTACAACAAATGTTGTTGAATCTGCCAATAACAATCTTTGCAAAGTTGTTTCTGGCAAGAGAATTAACTACACTGCAAAAGAAAGCTACACTGTACGTTGTCATGCCGCTGCAATGCAGTTTTCAACAAAACAAGTTTTAACAACTGTGTTTGAAGGTATTAACAAAGAAGTACCTCAAGTTGCAGAAATAATGGAAAATCGGCGAAAATTGAAGATTGAAAACAATAAAAAGTATGCTCAAGAAAAGAGAAGAACCAAAAGGTTCTTTAGAAAAAACAAGGATAAAGATTATGGACAAAATTCAAATCAACCTGATATATCAGAAGAATTATTTGCAAAAGAAAAAGATTCGCTAATGAATGAATTGGAAAAATATCAAATTGAGAGAGATGCAGTTGCAGAAAGAACAAAAAACCAGTCGGAATCAAGTGAGTGGAAGAGAATACGTCGTAAAATGCTTACAGCTTCAAACTTTGGTCGTGTTTGCAGTAGGCAGAAAACTACGTTGACTGGAAGTTTAGTAAAAGGAATATTGTTTAACAAAGTTGTAACGGATGCAATGGAATATGGAAAATACCACGAAGAAGATGCCAGACAGCAGTTGGCAAAGAAATTAGGTATTACAATTGAAAATAGTGGATTCTTCATAGATCCAGAGATAAAATTTTTAGGATGCTCTCCAGATGGATTAATTGCAGAGGAATTATATGATATAGATATTCCTTTGAATGCAATTATGAACAGAAAATGTAACGAATTTTCGTATGAAGTAGTTGCAGGTGGCATTGTTGAAATAAAATGCCCATACTCTGCCAAAAATATGAAAATTCAAGAAGCAAAAGAACAGATTCCTGCTGTCAAAAAATGGTTTCGTAAGGATATGAAGTTTCTAAAAACTTCACATGAATATTACTATCAAATTCAGGGACAACTTCACTGTACAAGGCGAAAATATTGCATTTTTGTCATTTGGACATTGTGTGATATGGAGATGACGGTAATTTTACGCGATGACAAATTTTGGGATCAAAAGGTAAATAAATTAACAGAGTTTTACTTACATTGCCTTCTTCCTGAAATCATCGATAGCAGACACCTGAGAGGGTTTAAACCTCGCGAACCTCAGTTCGTTCTAGATGCAAGAGAACCTTATATAGCTATCCAAAAGGAAAAAAAAGAGAAAAAGTTTAATGCTATTCTTCAGAAATGTATTGAAACTGAAAAGGAAAAAGCAAATATCGAAAGTACTTCAAAAACGAGTCCAGCAGCAAATCCTTCCCAACCATCATTAAAAAGAAAAGCAGATTTCAAAAACTGTATACAGACAACTGTAAAAAAAATAAAAGCTCACAACGATTTGGAACTTGCGGAACCATCACATGTGAATAAAATTTTAGCACCATCAGAAGAAGATGTGTTTCATCAATTAATAAATATGGAGCATTCTCAAAATGATTGGGAACTTGCGGAACCATTAAATGTGAATAACATTTTAGTACCATCAGAAGAAGATGTGTTTCATCAATTAATCAATATGGAGCATTCTCTTCAAGATTTAAAGAAAATAATACTCAACGTTGAAGTATATTTGGATGATGACTGCATTGATTCATTTCTGAGGGTATTACAAATGTACTACCCAGAATTTGAATTTTTAAGTGTGCACTATCTTACCAATTCAAAATTCATAAAACCATGTTTAAACAATATTGACGTGCAAATAGTTGGTGGAAATTCTTCCGTTCATTGGCGCTGCTATTATTTCTTCGATGGAGTTTTATACATTTACGACAGTTTATACATGCCAACGTATGAAAAACTCACCAAACAAGAACAAGTATACATCAATCGACGCTACCCAAACCTAACTCCTGACAAAGTCATACCACTACAAGTTACTCACCAAATAGATGGTACAAGTTGTGGAGTTTATGCAGGAGCATTTGCAATGTCCTTATGTTTAAAAGAGGATCCATGTACTCAAGATTACTCTATAGATTCGCTTGAAATGCGACAGCATTTTTTTAATATGATAAAGAATAAGGAAATAACCCCATTTCCATTAAAAAATGAAAATGTAATCGAAATACTAGATGATTAAATAATTATCTGAAAAAAGAAAAACCTGAGAAAACCTCAGAAGCAGCGTGAGAAAATTTAGTAACACTACAAAAATGTATTTATAAAAATTTTCAAATTTAGTTTTCAATGTATGCTGTCATACTATCTTGAGAGAATTTAATTGTACAGCAGCGTGGGAAATATTGTAAATAGAAAGACTTTCTTCAGGAAAAAACAAAATAGTGACTGGCTGAGAATGATCTTTGTTGTTTTTAACTTTATTTCCAGAGTACAACGTTGTATGAAACTCAGATGTGTGACGTTGTACAGCAGCGAGGGATTTAATTTTTACATTTACAGCAGCGTGGGATATTTTATAAGAAAAAAGTTCTTTAAAAATAAACAACAAAGTGGGAGGATGAGGGTGGTTTTGTTGTTTATAACTTTATTTCCAGAGTACAACGTCATGTGAAATTCAAATTAATATGTGACGTTGTACAGCAGCGAGGGATCAAATATTATACTAAGTCATGAAAACTAAAAGCAGCGTGGGAAAATTTATTATTAATAAGAATTTAAGTAAAAAGTACAGCAAAAAAGGCTATTAAAAGTCGTCTTTTTTGTCACTTAATTTTATACATAGTCTTAATAATTTTATTTTCAGAGTATGGCGTCATAAAAAATTAGCAATTATGACGTTGTACAGCAGCGAGGGATTTAATTTTTACATTTACAGCAGCGTGGGATATTTTATAAGAAAAAAGTTCTTTAAAAATAAACAACAAAGTGGGAGGATGAGGGTGGTTTTGTTGTTTATAACTTTATTTCCAGAGTACAACGTCATGTGAAATTCAAATATGTGACGTTGTACAGCAGCAAGGGATTTAATTATTACATTTAACAGCAGCGTGGGATATTTTATAAGAAAAAGCTTCTTTAAAAATAAACAACAAAGTGTGAGGAAGAGGGTGGTTTTGTTGTTTTATAACTATTTCCAGGATACAACGTCATATAAAACCCAGATATGTGACGTTGTACAGCAGCGAGGGATCCAATATTATACTAAATCATGAAAACTAAAAGCAGCGTGGGAAACTTTATTATTAATAAGAATTTAAGTAAAAAGTACAGCAAAAAAGGCTATTAAAAGTTGTC